GTTGGCTGTGGCTTGTAAGTGGAAGGTGGTCTTGGCCATGGGTTATGAGTGGAAGGTGGTCTTGGCCATGGGYTATGAGTGGAAGGTGGTCTTGGCAATGGGTTATGAGTGGAAGGTGGTCTTGACCACGGCTTCTGAGCGGGCCATGCGGCGTTTGTCTGATGAGTCCAGGGTTGTGCAGCGGTTGTAAGATGAGCATATGCACGAGAAGCCTCTACTTGTGGAAGCAGTTCCATCTTGGCCAGGATCCAGTCATAGAAGTCCTTAACAGAAGTATATATTCCAGGCCGCTGTGCTCTGGCGCAGCCTCTTCCCCAGCTGGTCACTCCAACGACCCAGAAGGAGTCAGCGTTGTTGTCTTTGCACATGAGAGGACCACCGCTGTCACCCTGCARAGGGGCAGAGAGGATTAAGGTGGTTTTTGGTGGCCCCTGTCAGTATTTGGCTGCCTCTTCATTCACAGCCACTGCCAGAGCTGTATTCCTAGCAGAGCAAGGCTCTGCTCAGGTGCTGGAGCCTCCAGAAGCTTGGCTGGGAATGGGACGAGGCCKAGGAAGTCAGGCTCTCTCTCAGCTCTGCACAGTTATCTTAGATGTGCAGAGGACAGATGTTCCAGCCCCGGCATCTGGACCTCTGGGCTGCCAAGAGCACTAGCAGGGCTTTCTGGGCAGAGTGCCAGGCCCATGGGACAAGGGAGGACTGGGCAAGACCCTACACATGAGGAATGGGGGGGAAGCAGTGGTAGGGAGCCAGGGCTGGGAGAGTGATTGGCCAGGGAAAGCAGGCGCTGGGCTGTGTTGGGGTGGTGCTGCCTGCCCTGCTGGGGACTGAGGGGCTCATCMCACACTCTTACCTGGCAGGTGTCGATGCCACCCTCCGGGTAACCAGCACACAAGTTGTGAGGGTGGATGTCCCCTGCGTACCACTCAGTGCTGTTGCAAAGCTGAACATTGATGAGGTGGACCTTAGCCTCCTGCAGGATATCGCTTGACTTTTGAGCTGTGAACACGGAAAGGAATGAGGACCCAGCAGCTCACTGCCACTTCTCCCCTGTCTGGGGATGATCTCCTTTCCTAGGGCTTGGCTTTGCCTCTGCAAAGGCACTGCAACATTGTGACACAGTCCCTGGAGAGTTGGTGTGTCCTAGATGTCTGCCTTTAGGAAGAAGGCAGCCTGACTCTGGCTGTGGCCTCTGCTGTCAGGAAGCCCAACCCATCTTCCCCATGTGAAGAGCTTGCCCTCCATTTTTGGAAACTCACCTCTTGCAGTGGTGGCACCCCAGCCAGCGACGTAGCAAGTTTGCAGTCGTGCCACATCCAGCGTAGCATCAGGCACACAGACCAGCTGGATGTACTGGTTGCACTTGACAGGCTCGTTCAGTTCCAGCAAGGCGATGTCGTTGCTCTGGTCACGAGCACCRTATTCCTCGTGAACCACCACCCGCTTAATGAGGCGCACCTCGGCCCCAGGGCCCGGCTCAGTCAGCTGGGTGGCCCCGATCAGCACGCGCATGGCGCTGATGTTCCTGAAAGCACGTGGAGAGAGGGGTGAGACGGAGCAGAGCCTGGAGCTGTGGCAGCACAGCAGTGACCTTGCTTCTCAAGGCAGAGAGGAAAGCAGCACTATGGAGGCGGTGACTGCTCCAGTGTGCCTTAGGCTCTGGCAGTGTTAGCTGGAGGCTGCTAGGACAGTGGCACGTGCCCAGCCTTCTCCTGAGCAATCTCTCAGCCCAGGCATTGGGCACATGGCAAGGAGAGATGGGAGCAGCACATGGTGCTGCCATCAGGGCACCTGCCCATGTTGTGGGGATATCCCTGTTCCCTGCTCCTCCTTACCTGGGGTCGGCAAAGCAGTGGGCTGCTGTGAGGACCCACTGTACGCTGATGAGGGACCCTCCACACAGATGCCCCGTGCCCGCTACCGAGGGATCTTGGATGCTGACAAGCCAGGGCCAGGCCCCTGTCTCAGCATTCGTGCCACCCACGACGCGGGTCAGGCCTCGCTCATCGTCAGAAGTCAAGGGCCGAAGCCCACAGCTCCCTCTGCAAGCAGAAAGTAATTTCCACCCTGCACTATGGCTTGCTGCTGCCCCAGCAGAAACTCCCCACAAGGCATGCAGGGACAGSAGGCCAGGGAAGGCCTGGGCCTGTCCACAAGGAACTGCGGCTTCCCCGTGGGGTTCTGGAAGCTGTGGCTTGGCCACAGAGGACAAGTGGGCCCACTCCAGGGAAGGCCCCAAGTGCTGCCCAAGCTCCCTTGCAGAGCCCGGGGCCACTCACTCGCAGGTGTTCCACAKGGCCAGCACAGGCCTGCGCATGGCCAGCAGGACGAAGAAGCAGAGCAGCTGCATGGCTGCCAGTGGCTCGTGTCAGCTGTGAGAGTGAGAGCTCCGCACACCAGCGCAGCCACGGCCACAATGCCCGCAGCACGCACGGTGCCCTCGGCCCAGGGACTGATGTCACAGAGCGGCTGGTTCCGTGTTCCAGCCACTGCGGCCTCTGGCACAAGAAGCAACATGGAACCATAGAATAGTTTGGGTCAGAAGGGACCTTAACGATCACCCAGTTCCAACCCGGGCAGGGACACCTTACACCAGACCAGGCTGCTCAAAGCCCCATCCAACCTGGCCTTGGACATTTCCYGGGATGGGGCAGGCACAGCTACTCTGGGCAATCTGTGCCAGTGCCCTCGCCATCCCCATGGTCAAGAATTTCTTCCTCATATCTATCCTAAACCTGCCCTCTTTCAGTTTAAAGCCATTCCCCCTTGTCCTACTACTTCTTGCCCTCACAAGAAGTCCCCCTCCAGCTTTTTTGTAGGCACCTCTGCTTGTGGGATGAGGATGTGCAGGCCCTGGGGCACAGGGAAGCGCAGATGCCTTTGTCAGCAAGATGGATAATTTTGCTTTCTTTCTTTGAAATATGAATATTTGACTGACTTTTCCTATCATGCAGTACCTCGGTAAAAGTTTAATCATGTGTGTGTGCTATTTAGGCCGGAGCAACTAAAATAGAAGACACCTGCATCCCTGCTCTCTAGGATTACTCAGAGCTGCAGAGGGCTCTGAAGGACTATAAAGTGCTAAGTAGTGCCTACAAAGAACAAGGGACAGAGAAAATACTGATGAGAGCACGTGGTATAAAGAAGCATTGAGATATATCTGATAATATCTAGCTTTGCTTTCCATGCCAGCCTGTATATTTTGGAAACCTCCTGAAGATCCTTAACCRAAAACCAACCAACCGAACAAGCAAATGTCATCAAAATGGCATTTAAATATAAACTTGCTAACTGATACAGGTATACACAATTAATATGTCTATATACACACATTATTCCAGCCCCATAGTGCTTTAACCCTCCTTCTGTTTTCACACAGAGCAAGGAAAAGCACAAAGAAGAATGAGACATGAGAAAGAGGTGAAATCTGTATTTGCAAACCTAATCACATTTTTGGACACCTAAGTGTTTGAGCACTTTTTTTTTCAATCTTGCCAAAAGTGCCCCATTTTCAGAGAGCACCTGTCCTTCCAGGGTGTTTACCTGATGTGACAATGCCAGCTGAGCATCTGCCATCACTTCTTATTCTGGGAAATATAGGTCCCATATCTTTACACTTCTTTAGAATGTCAACCTCCTTCAAGGAGTTGGCAAAATGTTTGCATTTGCATTGGTTTTACTTATTGGAGTGGTTTTCCCATTCTTATGATCACCGTTTCTCAGTGAGAGGTTGAATTTCTGGTATACTAATATCCATCTATATAAAAATGTGGGCTCAGTAAATTTTAAAAGGGAGAGTCATTTAATCATTGATGAAGGTACAATATTCTGAGTAAATCTTAAAACCACCAGAGGTCACACATKTGTTTCTTCTTTCTCCTTTCCCTCTTCCAGCTTTTTGTTTTTTGTTTTTTTTTGGTTTTTTTTGGTGCCTGTGGGGCTGGATTTTTGATACTACAAGGTAGCTAAACTGCATAGATGGAAGAWACTGAAAAATAACCACATTCATTGTTCAAACAGTGCTAGTGATTCTAAATACATTTTTTTCCTGTGAATATTTGTGGTGTACCCAGAATATTAAATGATGCTGGTTTTCACAAGTTGGCAAATTTATAATGCATCATTTTAGTGACAAACAGGAGAAATTCAAAGTATGTGTTTTTTTGGTTGGGTTGGTTTTTTTTGGTTTTCTGGGTTTTTTTGTTTGGTTTTTTTTTTTCTTTTTTCTTTTTTTTAATTTTTTCCTGCTTTAAAATGGATACAGAAGTAAMACATTTGGAGAAATCTCATACAATGTTATTTGAATAATGCCAGCTAGAACCACAGCTTCTGCTGGCATAGAGGTCATCTAGAAAATTCTCTTTTTGGTGAAGATGCTGAGCAGCTGAATATCTGAATAGGATACATATCTCATGCTGATTTGAAATTTACCAGAGATATACAAACTTTGGATACATTGTTCCTGTCTTCTAATTTCATCCTCTGTATGTGGGTATAAACCTGAGTATCTATGACACATGGTAAGTACTTGAGACATGTTCCAACTCTAAATCAATTCCCAAAAAAACCCCAATACAAACCAAAACAAAAAAAATCCAATCAAACAAAAAAACCAAACCAAATCGAGAGTACTTAAAAACTAGCTGGAAGTGGGTGATCAGACTCTTCATTAATTAGGAAAAAATCAAGGAGATGATGGAGCATATGCTGCAGAAGCACCAGTGACTGCACCAAATGAGCTCAAATCAACAAAAAGCTAATTAATTAGGTAAACATAATAATTACCTACAATGTGTTCTTGAAAGGTAAGAGGAGGTACAACTTCCAGAACAGAGGGAAGTGAAACAGTGGAAGACACCRAAATATTTCAGGACCTGGTCTGGGCCTGGCCATGACAGACAGACAGACAGACACATGGACACAAATGGGTGTGAAGATGTTCAAATCCACTGTTGGCTCTGGCTTCTCAGGAGGCTTGGGGTGCTCCATAATACCAGGCAAGGATAAATAACTCAGAGTCATTCCTTAACACAAAGCAGTTACCCCCCAGTCTCCCCAGTGTGGTCAAGTTCCCTAGAAGCTAAGAATCCAAATTTACCAAGAATCCCTGCCCACCAGCTCTCTCATTTTCCAGCTGCAAAAAAATAAAAAAAATAATAAGGCCCAGGACAACCATCAGTCCAGATTTTTCACTTCAAGTCAAAGGACTTATTTGACTATTTTTAAAGGACAGCTATCATGTGCTTTTAAGCAATAATCTGCAGATGAGATGAATAGCACACTTAGGATCTACATGATTTATTTGGCAAAGCTATTAGTTCTTTCTGGAGCAAATTAATAATAATTCTCATCTGTTTATCAGTGGGAATTTAATGTAGGCTAAGAAGTCATTGAGAGTTTTCTTCAGATGGAAGTCTGTTCAAAACAGAACAGAAAAGATGAGTTTGAGAAAAATGCTTAATAAAGTCTTTAAATGAAAACTACTCAAGACTTGACTGTTAATCAAAAGAACATACTTACCTTACTCAACATCGCTGTACCAGAATCTGGCAGCAAGTTTTAAAAAGGAACCCTTTTCTCTTTCTTTACAGTCATAATTTCTAACAGCTRAATTATTTGCTATAAGTATTGTTTTCTTTCTGCTAATGTATTATGCTTCTGGGATTGTTCAGAGCAAATATTTTGTTACTAAGAGAAAAAACTCCTGAACTGGTGCTTCTGGGAGAAAAAAGCAAGCACATTCAAAGCCTCAGCTATTCAAAGAATATCACTGCGCCGTCTTAACAGGCTAAATTCTGTTTTATTTTCACTAGCATTAAAAAAGGGCAAAATTTCTCCCTAAAATTATTTTTTAAACATAGAAAGCTGCTGCTTGCACTGGGGCATATTTATGCGTATACCAAAATTCAAAATTCCTATTCAATTCAAATATAAAAATTCAAATGGGGTGAATTAGCAGAGGGAGTTTCCTGTTCAAAGCAGAGTTAGATAAGCAAAATACATTCCTAGAAATACGTGAAGTATCAAATAATAGAAGATAATGGTTTAATACACATCATGATGCATTGAAGAGTTTTTCTACCTGTACTAGGCACCTTATTTTAGAACAATACAAAAAAACCCTACTAAAAAATCCTCTGAAAAGCTGATACCCACAATATTTGAATTTTGTTGTTTTTTTTTTTTAAATGTCCTGATAGATACATAAAATGAGATTATTTGGGAATATCGATATGTAGCTGTGTGCTCTGTACAATTCCTTATGCACTTTACAGAGAGGTTAGCATTAGTGTTTCGTGTTACAAACAAACGTTACCTGATCACAACCATGATAAAAGTCAGGCTCCACTGACTGCAGCGCTTCTGTTCTGTTCCCTGACTCACACAAAATCTCATCTATCACAATCCCAATGTTTTTACACCTGGAGAGGCCAGAGAGGGAAGTTTGTGAGCACAGCATGGCACRGTACTGTGGGATTTGGCTCCGGCTCCACGAGAGATCCATGTGCGATGCTCACAGACAGCCGAGCTGGAAAGATACAGGCTTCTCACATTAACACTCTATGAGCTGCAGCAAACACAGTTACCATATTAGCTGGCTGAAATTGTGTCATACTCTTATTTTTAGCATGCCATTATGCCTCTGGGATGTATTTTATTTATCAAGGAATTTAATCTAAACAGATGTTGCAGCTGTTTTCTAAAAAAGGGCTATATGCAACTCGCTGGGAGGTACCTGAAAGACAATTTTGGCAAAGAGGCAGAGTGAATGTGTGAGGCAAATATGGTAGTCCTGAGCCACTACCTGACATTACAGTTAAATTTTTCAGAGAGCTAAAATAGACCCAGAAAATATTCTGTAATTTTTTATAAAGAAAAAATAGGGGTTCTCCCCAAATTRTTCTCACTTGAAGGAATATTATGAAACTGAAGAAGCGAGAATTTACGGGAGAACTTGGCAAAATATATCAACAGCAGTATGGGATTGCCCAAAGGACTGACAGTGACTCTAATGGATCCAGCAGTGAGCTTCAGTCTTGCATCAGGTGGGTGTTCCCTTCCAGGGGAGCTGTGAGTCCTAATGAAGAACACAAGAACAGTAATTTGCATGGGTTAAGTTGTTCACTGTCAGCACAAAAAGCTAAGTTCTGCTTCCCCAAGCATAATCTTGGAAAGCTGCCCTGGTTTCTTGGCTACAGGACAGGGTCTCTAAGAGAGCATGGARAGCAGATGAGAGTATCATCTCGGTGATGACACCATCAGGTTCAGTTAGGGACAGCTAACTGGGAGAAGTTAAAAAAAAAGGGAAAAAAGACATTTTATCACTTATTTCATCAAGCAGTGTTGACAAGAAGTGGCAAAACTACATAGTGAAGGCTCTGGGAAATAAAATAATTTTGTGACATGTTGGGTATGGGCTGTGCAGCAGACAAAGGACAGAAACAGGATAAGACTGCAGTCCCAATGCTAAGGAACAGAGGGAACAGAGAACTGAAAAAGCTTTTGTCAATAGGATTTCATACCCAATTATTGTCACAGGAGACTCAAATTTTATTTCCTGCATTTCTCCTGGCAAAAGGCCAGCTCTCACATGACCTCCMTAATTATTTTAATCCTATCAATGAAATTGTCTTTCCTTCAAGGAAGCTCAYTTCCATCCCTTTTAAGACAGCTGCTTTCCCTTAGTATTGGAACCATTTCATAAGAAAACTGACCATAAATAGTAATTTTTCTCCTACAGTGTTAAATCAGCATCAGCATTCTACCATCTGCAAGTCTTTGGTTTTGTGACTCTTATACTAGATGTAGCCCACCCACACAGGATGCCACTCAGAAGCTGTTTCCTTGTTCTTACCTGGGTGCAAATGGCTKTGCTGGGGGCAGTTTTGAAAGCAGGTGAAGAGTGGATGAGATGCACCAGCACGGGATCTTTAGGTGATGCACGATCTCTTTGTGTGCTGCAGCTGCTGGGTGTGGGCTGTCCCTTGGAGCACGGATCACAGTCACTTCCTAATCTCATGCCTGCTTCTGGTTGCAGGTAGCAACACAGTCAAAGTTCATTTGAACCTACCAGGCAGCCTAAGAAGTCACAGGTTATTTTGTTACTTAACAAATCCAGGTGCTCCTATCAGCTCAGCAGGGCTCTTTTCTGCATAATAATTCTAAAAGCCTTTGATTTACCTGCCTACCCTTCGCAAAACTGGGGCCTGAAAGATAGGTGGYGGGGAGCAAAGCCTGATTCAGCAGCAGCTATTGCTCATTTTTTTGTCACTCTATAGGTCACTGGCTGGCAGAAATCTCWGTGGAAATGCATGTAAAAATATTTTGCAAACTGATGAGAAAATTAAGTGGTGACTCATGCTCCCATCAGCTCCAGACTTGATTACTGCAATTTGATGGACTGAGAAGCTGATGCTCCACCGAGACTGCAATTTGCTCAGGGGAGCAGCTGAGAGGCCTCACTGGCATTAGCTGTTTCC